CATACCAAAACTGTATAAAATCATTCAAATAAGGAGAGGAAGAATTTATATAATAATATTTATGTGGCTATCTCTCATGCCACATGTGCACCGTGTACTTTGCAGTATTGGAGATGCTCTTAAGGAAAAAAAGTTGCTTTTAATTTTAAATACTATGTATATTAATGTATTAGTTCAATCATATCCTGCATTAGAGGCTGAAAATCAGGATCTCATTTTATAACCAGTATCTCATTTTATTAATTTGACAAATTAATTCATTTGTTATTTATTTCACGGTTATTTGGTTAACCGTTTGTGGTTAACCGAAATTTCGGTTAACCGATATAATGGTACGGATAGTGGTATCAAAAATATAGTAACCGAACTATCGGTTAACCGGAAGTTGGTTAACCGAAAGGCGGTTAACCAACCGGGCCCACCCCTGATTGGGACGGAAGAGGTGATACCGAAAAGTGAGTTTATGTAGTTGATATTAATTGATAAAGTAAGAAAAATTTAGAGCGACACAAATTTTATTAAATTTGGTACGTAACAGTTTTAGTGGGAGTATTTTTTTAGTGAAATGACTTGGAGTATACAGCGAAACGTAGGATGCACCAAAAGATTCTCCACTATTAAGGCACGAAAGAGGCTCCAATTATTATTATTATTAACATTAAAAACACACATCTATCGCCTCTTTTTTCTGCTCCCATCGAAAACCAATGCCCGTTGAACGATTCATTACTTGATGCAACAAAAAACACTCAATTGCCCTCTTTGAAAATGGATGTTTCACAATTAATCTCAAATTGAAATTTAGTGTATGTTTCATTTTCCCTGCATTGTGTGTGTGTGTATGGCTAGATCAACGAAGCAAGGACAAAACGGAGGAGGTGAGGAGATGAGATGACGACGTTGTTGGGTAAACTTTTCTCCCATTTCACGCGGCGGGTTTCAGATCTGGATTGGAGGTTTGTGTTGCTCATTCTCATGCCCCTCTCGCTCATCGTCTACACGTGTCTCTCCTCCGTCGCCACCCCCCTCATCCGGCCTGTTCCTTCGCCGGCGGCGAACAAAGCAAGGATCGCGGTTTGCTTGGTGGGCGGGGCTCGGAGGTTCGAGCTCACTGGGCCGTCCATCATCCAGAGGATTCTCAAAGTGTATCCCAACTCCGACCTCTTCCTTCACTGCCCGCTCGACTCCAATTCCTACAAGCTCTCCTTGCTCAGGGCTGCCCCCAGAATCGCCTCTGTCAAAATCTTCAACCCCACTCACATTAACGAGACTGAGTCACAGGCTAGAGTTCTCACTCCCCAGGACTCGCCCAATGGCATTCAGGTCCGCCCATTTACTCATATATTAAATTAATTAATATCCAACAGCTAGCAAAGATAAAGTATGAAATGCAACGGTAAAGTATTGACTTGCCTCCTTAACTTTAAGAAATGTTTAATTTTCAGTTTCTACGTGCTAATGTGCTATATATATGTACATAATGCGAAGTAAATTTCAAGAATTTATTTAACTGTCTTTCCGATTTAAATTTGAGCTGCAATTTGGTATGAAAAACATGTTCAAAAAATTTCATCAAAAAAATCCATCAGGAAGAAACCCAATTTTTTCACAAAAAAATGGTATTTCCTATTCATCGATGATAGTTATTAATAACGAGAAGCGTTCATTAATAAAACTTACTATCAAGTGAATATAGAACGTGCGTCGTATATTGACCTGCTAGTAGGCAGTAGCAATAAAACTTAAGATGAAATCGACTGAGATTGACAACTTCAACACAAGCGGTTTATTGGTTTAATCAATAATTAATCCCCCTTAAATTATTAACCATGACACACATACATTAATAATCTAAGTTTACTAACGTTGAAAGGACCAAGCGAGTAACAAATGTACTCGTCGATCGATTCATGTAATAATTAATATATGATACATATTGGTTGATCAATTAAGTAATGCTTAAATATTAATATGAGATATAAAATAGGAATATAATTAATATTCCAAGAAGATGGTTTAAAAAAATAACTCACAACTTACAAATTATAAGCTTCAATGTAGCAAAACCAAAATGGAATGGTTTAGCTCCTCATTTGTAGACTAAACATACTAGAAAAATAAAAAGAAAATACTTGTCTAAACTGAGTTTAGAGGTATATGAGAATTGATACCTAAATGTAGGGGTGGGCATGGGTTGGGACGGTTCGGGATTAGGGTTATCCCGGTCCCGTCCCAATTAATAATAACGGAACGGGACGGTACGGGACAAGCCTTTGTCCTAGTCTTGTCCCATTTAAATCGGGACCGGGATGGTTCGGAACGGTTCGGGACGGTTCGAGACGTCCCAAACTAACAAAATATTAATATATATTAGCATTTCTAAAGTATCATGCACCAAAATATTAACATTTTAAAAGTTAATTGATGTTCATCACAAGCTAAAAGCTACTACGTATTAGATTTTAGTTAGGTTTAGCAAAATTTGAAATTTAAATTTAAAACAAGCAAAAATGAATTAGTTTATTCAAAATCATGTGTTCTAGCTGTGAGATACTCATATGTAGATATATAAAGTGGGATAAAAATCTATGTTAGTAAATATTCATGTTAGGTATTATTTTTAATTTAAAAATTGGGCTTGAAGAACTAAACACATGTTACCATTTATTTTTTGAGTTGACATTACACACTAGTTACATGCTACAAAATCTATATAGTTATTACAAACGGGACAACGGGACAGTTCGGGATAACCTTCCAATGTCCCGGTCCCGTCCCGTTTTAAACCGGTACGGGACCGGTGCGGGACAAAATCAATGAGACCCAAACGGAACGGGACAACACCGGTACGGTTTCGGGATATACCGGAATGGGACAACGGGACCGGGATTCTTGCCCGCCCCTACCTAAATGGGAAGGAAAAGAGGTGTATTTATAGGTGTTTGGAGGTGGCAGGGTAAGATACCCGATCGGGTATATAGTATGGATGGACCCGGGCCGGTTCGGGCCCGGTTCGGGCCTAGGCCCGGCCGGGCCTCGGGTCTGTTTTGTTGGGCCCGAGCCCGAACCGGTGGCCACCGGTTCCGGGCCGGGCCGGGCCGGGCCGGTCGGGCCACCCGGTTTAATTTTTTTTTTTTCCTTTCTTCCCCCACCCCCCCCCACCCCCCACCCCCCCCCAAACCCCCCCAAACCGGCCTAAACAGATAGCCCAAGCCCAACAGCCCAAAACAAATGAAAAAAATTAAAAAAAAAATAGATTTGGCCCGGACCCGGGCCCGAACCGGCCGGGCCGGGCCGTCAAAACCATGAACCGAGCCCGGAACCGCCCCACCCCCGGGCCTCCGGCCCGAACCGGACCCGGACCCGGATAACCGGGCCGGGCCGGGCCCGCACAGTAGCGGGTCGGGCCGGTCCCGGGCCGGGCGGCCCGAACCGAGGCCATGCCTACTATATAGGATACACGATCGGTATATCCTTAGTATTTACTCGAAACCTTCATAAATCACATCATACCTGATTGGGTATGTATGTTTATCCGATCCGATAAAAACAAATCTTGCCAAATCTTTGTAGTCATGCACGTTTAATTGCCTTCAAATCAGATTTGATACTCGGGTTAAGTCAATACCCGATCGGGTATATGTTATATACGTGACCGGGTATATGAAGTTCCCAAATCTTCACTTTATTTTGTTCTCTTTCATTTTCCTTGACCTTCCAAGGATCCTTTTGATGATCTTTACCTGGTTTAAGCCCCGAATAATCCTAATCTAAACAAATTACAAACAACTAGGAAAAATAGAGTATTACATCAAAAGTGTGTGATTTCCCAATTAAAAGTATAAAACTAGTTAAAATTACAAACATAAACAATAACAATTATATACTATCAATTGTGGTAGTATAAAAAGGAGAGATTTCCCTAAATAGGACTAAATAAAAGTACTAATATACGGAGCAATTAATACTTTCCATAAATAAATATAATTGTAGTGCTTGCAAAGGTAATTTAAAGGCTAATATTAAGGTAGGCGGGAATAATTGGAGAAATCTGATTGCACACCCTATTTTTATTTATATAAGTGCAATGTTTTTAAATAATTTATATATGTAACTGGTTTTCCTATTGAATTTTAAACTAAAATTACGTGGATACAATGTAAACTTAATGAAGAGCATTTTTATGAAAGTTCTCCTGATGATTCTTCCTAGAGCTCTCCTCTACATTGACATTATATAAAATTTCCCGATAAAGTATTAGAGGAATACTAAGTCAAGATGCAAGCCACTTTCGTTTTGGGGGAACATACATATGCTTAGTTGTAACTACTCACTAAATAAATATTGTGAAATTTGGTACATGGATATGTAATACTCGGTAAATGTTTGCACTTTGCAGGGGTTGTTGCAATATTTTAATCTTGTGGAAGGTTGTCTGACAATGATTCAAGCACACGAAATGAAGAAGAGGTTGAGGTACGAGTGGATTGTCCGGACGAGAGTGGACGGGTACTGGTCCGAGGAGCTGGGTCCCACGCACTTCATTCCGGGGCGGTACATCGTGCCGCCGGGATCGTCATACGGCGGCCTGAACGACCGGATGGGCATCGGGGACATGAAAACCTCGAAAGTGGCTCTGTCCCGCCTGTCCCTGATTCCGCAGCTGGAGGCGGCAGGGTACGAGCAGCTGAACTCAGAGAGAGCTTTCAAAGCCCAGCTGACAACCGCAGGGGTGGTGTACGCGACCCACCGTGTGCCCTTCTGCGTGGTGACGGACCGGCAGTACCCTTTCCCGCCGGGCCCGATGGGAGTCCCGGTGGCGGCGATCTCCAGCCGGGGGCCGCTGAGCGGGGCAAAGTGCAGGCCGTGCACGCCTTCCTGCACCGGGGAATGCATTCCTGCGGTGATGGGGCAGCTGAACCGGGTGTGGAGCTGGACGGACTGGGCCAACAACAGCATAGAGCTGTGCGACGCCCATGGCGAGTGGGAGGAGGGGTGGGAGAGCATCTTTGACCAGGTCGCCGGCAAGAAGCTGGCGGCAGTCAGGAAGCGGGTGACGAAGATGAGAGTGAAGCAGTGCGTCAACGATTTCAAGGCAATGAGATTCAAGTCGGCTTCTTGGGACGCTCCTCCTGTCACCCAGATGTGTCGCCTAGGCTTACAATCCGCCTAATCAATTATATTTGTTCCCCTATTTTTTCTCTTGAGTAAATTCTGCAACGACTAATAAAACTGCAGGAATTCAATGTTCCGCATAATTTCATAGGAGTAGAAATATCAAAAATCCTAATTTCTTTATTAAAAATATCAACTAATTAACTTAAAATTAAAATATGTTTGTTGCACATATCCACCATCCATAACAGATGAGTTCTCTTGCGCCGACACCACCTATTGCTTGCACCAGCTATTTCTGCCAGCTGCCACCGGCCGCAGGTGCCGCCACCAAATGCCACTTCTAGATACTGCCAGGCCGCCACCATCTTCATCACTGCCTTTGCCTCCGCCGCCCGTCACTACTGAACTAATGTTATAACTATCACCCTTCTTCTTCGGATTTGGCTCCCTACCGCCTATATAAATTCAATTAAGAGTGTTGTAAATATAATCTGGTTATTTGAATGCTATTTGTATGAATAAAGAGGATATGAATTTTATTGTCATCTTCACATTTTAATGGCATTATAAAAGGGGAAAGTTCCCGAAATAGGACTAAATAAGTTTGAAAATTCCAAAATAGGACTGTCATGTTTTTATTCCAAAAATAGGAGTAATTACTATCAAGTTTGGAAAATACTGTCATCTTTAAAGTCTGGTATGCCAAAACATGACAGTAATTAGTCTTATTTTGGGAATAAAAACATGGCAGTCCTATTTTTGGAATATAGAAGTGCTTTTAGTCCTATTTAGGGTAATTTCTCTTATAAAAGTGTATTTGAAAGAGCAGTAATATACATTGTCATCCTCATGAGTTAGTGTCATACAAATGACACCAATGGGAGAGCCACACTTGATCGAAAGTGTTCAGATGAACACTTAAACTTTTAAGAAACATGTATATATATATATATATATATATATATATATATATATATATATATATATATATATATATATATATATATATATATATATATATATATATATTAGTATTGTAACTGTCATCTTGATCTCATAACAATCGCACTATATGTCGAAATAATAATTGTACATGGAAAAACATTTTATGGCATTACTTATACTGTAATTGTCATCTTGATTTCATAAAGCAGTCACATAAAAAATATTTACACTTCACAAATATGACATTATTAGTATTGTTTGTATTTACAAAGTTGAAAACAACTGATTATGTCGATTTTATGTCAATTTAAGATACAAATATGAAAACAAATGTGAAGGGTGCACCGATTCAAGGAATCAACAAGTAAAGAAGAACTAAAGATCAGGCATAGCTGACCTGGGGTATATTCAAGGACAATCATATCATCCTCACCTATGTAATGGCCCATAAGGAAGGGTGCACCATCAATAATAAGTTTGGCGGCGTACTCGTTTCCCTCAGTGAAAATCGGCATAGTCCATCTCTGTATCAGCTCTCCCCACTTGTTTACGTACAAATGGTAGTTTACCCTTCAAGGGGGAGATCCATACGCATGTCTACCTCCAATTCATAAAAGAATTATGATAAGATTTAGCAGCGAAGAGGCGGTGGTCTGCCCTCTAGGAAAATGAAAATAAGTCTTGGGTATCGGAGCCACAGTATGGAAGAACGTTAAACATATCCAATGTAGGCGTGGTCTGCAGGGAGAGACATCAGGCAATAAATGTAGCTATGAACAAATGTGTGGTGGAAGTAAACTGATCAGGAATGACCCCAAAATGATCCATTATACTTCCTCCGTTCTTAAATAAATGCAACGGTCAACATTTCACACTTGTCGAGACACAACTTTGACCATTAATATATATAAATTTATATTAGTAAAAAACTTAAAAAAATTAGATATTGAAAATTTACAATGAGACAAATTTAACAGTACTTTTTTCATAAAAATATATTAATACATTAATAAATAAAACGTAGTCAAAGTAGACCATGTGAATAATGTAAAATTTCATATGTTGCATTTATTTAAGAAGGGAGGTAGTAGTCAGAAGAGCAGGATGGAGGGGAAAACGAAGGTCCACTTCTAAACTAGCAAGATGAACCTCGAAATGGGAAGGAGTAGGGGGTTCCCCTTGGAGTAGGGCGAGAACAGACAACACTAGGGTCGGCGAGGGGAACTGCCTCTTCAAACTCAGAATCCCAGATGGCGGCTGTTGGGGCCCTGCGGGTGAAATAATAAAAATTAGTCCACGGGAATCCGAGGTCTGTTGGAACCAGACATCTCATCATCAGGAAGACGGTAAGAAGCGGAATAGGATTAGACGAAGACATGGAAACTGACGTGAGCAATAAAAAGTAAAAAGTTGCGCTGAGACCTTTCTTCTTCTGGGGGTTGCAACTATGGGCGCAAGCTTGAGCAATTGAGTAAGGCGACAGAAGGTTTGCACGAAGGAGAAAGGTCCCCTTTTATTCTGAACCAAGATGCCTCAAGAGGTGAATGGGGAAGCGTGACTGAAAGCACTCGAGTGCTAAGGCGTAAACTCTGAAGTTGTGCACAACATGGCACGCCCACAAAATTAATGGCGAGCGCTAAACATACATCACATTCCCACTTTGGGGAAAATTCGAAAATTGAAATTCATTACTATCCTAAAATCAAGCCTGACTTATTTAGAGAGTAGGTACTATGGACTGTGACCATAGCCCAATTGCGAATTAAACGCGAAGCCCATTGTACGAGATTAATAAATCAGACCTATTAGACGGGATTGATTAACTAATAGAACCAACTAGGCCTATTCATTCTTTTGTCAAGGTGAGGAGAAGAAAACAGCATATCTTTTGAGGTTTATTTCTTTAACTCCAAAGGCCCAACACCTTCCCTTGAGTTTTGAGTGGAATATGTGATGCAAGAAACCAAAGGAGAACAAGTATTAAGAGTAGTAAGTGGGTCGTATCTTATTCAATCAATAATAAGAGGTCCGTTACAACACATTTCACTACAAGCCCAACGGGCCGATCATCTATCTGAGCTAAGAGGATGGGGAATAATTGTTATTGCTAAGGAGTATAAGTTGTCAACCCTTTACCATGAAATAGATGTTACTATGTATACTACCAAGGGGTAGGTAATATTGATGATGTTGGAGGATCGTGAGTGGTTAGCTTCCCAACCACCAAATCTACTGCATTAAATGTGTTTCCCGCCAATATCCTGGTTTCTCGCCAAGGGATCTGGACAAGCATCCCCCGAATCTTGGATCCCGCCAATATCCTGGTTTCTCGCCAATACATCTCAGGACCTTATACTTTACAATTCAAATATGCAATCAACTTGTAACACCCCCAAATTTCCCACCCAAAACATTGATATATTTGGAATAAAACTTTTATTTATTGATAACGTCATTTGAAAATTACAGAGGAAGTCTTGATAGGGAAATGGGTGTTACTATACCGCCACATCCGGTCATCTCTCAACCGAATGCACAGGCAATCCCAAAACAAAGTAAACAAGTGCTAAAGTGTTTATTATTCTAGTCTAGGTTTAACTAAGGCATCTCTAAACCGCTCTCAAGACCATACAATCATCAGTCAACATCAGCATCATTACCTGCGCAAATAAAGTGCAGAAAACAAAACAAAGAAAAGGAAACAAAAATTAGCTTTAGAGCTAAGTAAGTACTATCCAACCCCGTAAAATACTATAATTTGGCACAAATAGTAATTATACACTACTATAGCTTTCAAAATTCATTTACTCATTAATAACACTACTTTCACGTTTAAAAATAATTTTTATACTCCAAATAACTCTCACCTTCACTTAAAAGTACCACTTTGCAAAATGCGGCTTCTCAAAATGGCTTTTATAGTTGAAATAATCTTTAAACATCTCCAAAAGTAATAACACAACTCTTCTAAAAAATGTCTCAACTTGACTTTGAAAACAATCTCTCAGTAGTTCTTCTCTTTTCAAAACAATGTTGCTATCACTCCTAATTTCTTTTAAGATGAGCGGTACTTTCGGATACTTATGCCCGAAGCCCAATGAGTCGTTGTTATTTACGAGCTCATCCCGGAAACCGGTTCCCACCACTACTACTATTGGAATCGAAACGACTATCTTAAGTGTGCACACCCCCTAAAAGGGATTCCAAGCCCTCCGAGTAGTCAGTAATCTCGAGTAGTCGGGACTCAGTCTACCAACTCCTCCTCCTCTATAAAATCAAGTGACTAGGAATTACTACTACTATGCCTGGGATCAATGATCCGAATGTCAGGTTGGCTACCGACCTACTAAAACTGTACTCCAAGTAGTAGTAACTCTAAACACCCTCCACATTTATCCGGATGTGGAAAAACCGACACCATGAATTTCTCCCGGATGCTCGTCTCTTATGAAAATGTTAATTTTCATCTTAAAAACAATACCCTTCAAAGTATTTCTCAAGTCTCCAAAATATTCTCAATGGTATTTAAAAAAAATATCTAGTACCCCATAACTCAACTTTCTCAAATACCATAAATTTAATGCCACTTCAAATAATCCATACTCAAATTTCACACTTTAATCGCATAATAACATATAGTACGAGGAAACAATTTTGGATCGGCAGAGAAACTTACCTCGAATCGCGATAAATCCTAACTGAAACTTCTACCTTGATCTTCTTTGAATTCACCTTCTAGAATATTAAAATTCTAGGATTAATAATTTACTTATAATATGAGATTAACTAGCCCACCTTTAATTAATTAGCTCACTTAAAAGCATCCCGTTATATCAAGAAACAATGACCCAAAGATGACTATGGGCTTTACGGTGGACAAGTGTAAGACTTGGTTTAAATTTAGACAAAAAGGGGAGTAAAGATATATGAAAGGACTGAAACACTCATTGAATAAATACAACACCATCCATCCGCATCTCGCTGCGTCAATCTTCTCCTCTCCCCTTCCGTCGATCTGCATCGTTGGACGCAACCATTGTCGACGCAACCACCATCGCGCAACTACCACCGTATCCCACCATCACCTCAACCAGAATCGTCTCCCACAATCGCCGCAACCACAATCTCTTCTTCTCCACTCCTCCATGGCGATTGAGGAGCCATTGGCTCCGTTTTTTGGCGACTGGACGATGAAATGGTTTGGATCGCCGTCATTTGTCGATTCAGTGTGGATACAGTCCGACGTCGGCGGTGGAATGGAGGCTAGGGTTACAAGCGGCGATGGTGGCCATTGGGGGGGGGGGGGGGGGTTGAACCGTAGTGGTTGGAGCGTTGTTCGTCTATTCGACAAGGATAGATTCCGACGGCAGTAAAGATGTGGTTAGGGTTATAGTCGGTGGTGGTTTGTTGGTGGTCGATTGGCTAACTTGGGGCTGGGGTTGGCTGGCGGCTCAAGTTACGAGCGATGCGAGGCGTCTAGGAGATGGGCCGGGGTGAGGGGAGGGCTGGGAAGGGGCGGTGGGGACGTGGGTTGCGGGGGCTGGTGATGGTAGGGGTTTTTGGGAGCTGGGGAGGCTGGAGACATGTTGGGGTGGCTGTCCGCCGGAGAGGTCAAGAGCGGAGTGGTAACTGACGTGGCGGTTGGTCACCGGCATTGGTGGGCGGTGGCGTTGATGGCCGGAGTTTGGCAGTGGCAGGGGGGTGGCAGTGGAAGGGGGTTTCGGCCCTTTCGGGGATGGGATTTGGGTTAAAGACGGGCCATGGATGCTGTCTACCAGAGTGGGTGCGGCGGCAGGTCACCGATGGTGGTGGCCGGCAGTGGTGGCTTGCGCTGGTCACTGTTGGAACGTAATTGATCGGACCGTGTAATCGTAACTGATCGGATTGAATAACTATAACTGGTAAAATATGGCTAATCGGGTAACTGGCCGGGCCGGATATTTTTTTATGGTTGGATCAAATAACTGTAATTGATTGGGTCAGATAACGGTAACTGGATGGGTTGGTAATTGTAACTGGACGAGTCGGGTAACTGTAACTGAACGGGTCGGGTAACTGTAACTGGATGGGTCGGGTAACTGTAACTGGAAGGGTCGGGTAATTGTAACTGTACGGGCGGACGTTGGTCACTGTACGGACGGACGTTTATCACTTGCGGAATTTAGATTTTTTGTCACTAATACTTTTTGGTCACTAATGATTTTTGGTCACGTAACTATAAATAGTTGGTTAATAATTGTAACTGATTTGATTGGATAATTGTAACTGGTATGGTCGAGGTTATTGTAATTGATGGCGGGTGCATATAATTGGTCGGGCGGACAATTGTAACCGACGACGAGTAAATGTAACTGATTGGGCGAGTAATTATAACTGATCGGGAGAGTAAATGGAGCTGGTTAGACTGATAACTGTAACTGATCGGACGAGTAAATGTAACTGGCAGCGAATAATTGTAATTAATCATATGGGTAATTTTAAGTAATTGAACGTATAAGTGTGTAACTGTAATTAATTGTAATTGTAAATCAACCGAATAAAGCATAAATTAATCAAAGTCATACAATATTAATCAAAGTCATACAATAAATTAATCTATGACTATTGCATTTTAAGA